GTATTCAAGTGTATTTTTCTAGATTTAATTTAAATTTATTTGCAATCCATCCTCACCATTTCATACAGCATTCAATTCTCTATTTAATAATTATATTTTAAATTTTTATGAACACTATAGATATGAAAACAAATTATTTCTTATTTGATTTGAACTCGTCATGAAATTTACAAGTATGCATACATACAAATTTTCAAGATATAATATTTAACTTCTCCTTCGTAATTTTAAGAGTTCTATAATCTAATATGCAAAAGGAATAGAAGATTTCTATAAAAATTATAATAAAAAATAAAATAATTGCCATAAAAATCATCTTTATATATATTTTTTATATTTGTAAGAAAATATTTTTTTATTTAATAACTATCCTCGGACTCATTTTCGCATTTCTCGCCTTCCTTATTATTTAATAACTATCTTGTCCCTCGGACTCATTTTCGCATTTCTCGCCTTCCTTATTGTCTGGTAGGGGTGGTCTGTTAGGGGCAGCTGCAGCTTATTGACTAATCTGCTGATAAGCTAGGTGCAGTGACTATTCCAAATTTTTATTTTTATGGAAAAGTCAGACCGCTGCCAGTAAGCTGTCACCGCACCTAGATAATTGCGGTATGAAAATACAGTTTTCAGCGTTTTGAAAATGCATAAGCTGCTAAAAAGCAGTTTACCCAAACAGGTCAGGTGTGTTTTCAAAACGCCGCCGCACCAAATAAGCTTCCCCAAACAGACCCCTAGTAGGAAAGTTTTTGAGAGAAAGACGGGGAGATGATGGAGAAAATATGATTTCAAATCTTAAAGGCGATTTTTATTTGATATCAGATTAGTCATAATATATTTATATAAAGTATTTTATATTATATAAGATTTTTAGAATTTTGCAAACATATAAGTGTTAATAAAATTAATTGTAGTGTTTCTAGAAGATTTTTCTTATGCCATATGAATATTAATTGTTATAAGTTATGATTCATGGAATTTTAATTAAATATATTGATAGATCCTACATTTTTTTTTTATTTTGTCATATTTGCATATTTGTACACACTACTATGGTCTAATACAAATTACATATGTTCATCAATCTATTGATTCATTTAACTTGATGTGTTATAAAATTATTTTGTATAAAACTATTAATTAATTATAAGGTTAATTGAGAATTTATATGTACAAATTAATTGGGAAGTATTAGGGCCTAAATAAAATGTGTGTTTATTAGAGTATAAAAAAAAATTTAATTAAATATCTATTTACAGGTAGATTTCAGGACTTGTATAAATGAATTATACTATGCACATGGAGATATAAGAGCTTGATGATATATATAAATGTATAAGATGGTAAAAGACCTAATAATAATTATTAATTACTTAGTAGGTATAAGAGTCAAATGATATATATGAAGTTCTTGAGAGATATAAGCATCTAAGAAGAAAATTTATATAAAGTGTTCTACTATGTTATTTATTTCAATTCACTTATTGTGATGCAGATGTTATATTAAAATATAATTGTTTATCATAACTTGTGACATGCAACATAAAATTTCATACTAACATGCTATAACTAATATAGCAAAATATTTGACATGTAAGTCACTATAATAGAATCATAGTACTAAGTCGTAGTTGTCAACGTATGGGGGGATAAGATGATCATACATTATGGAAAATGTTTCCTCTATCATATAGATCCAGTCTCCCAAAGTTAATACAAGGAAGGCTCACACTTCTCTTAGTTGTGTGTAGTCTTGGTCATTAGCTAGTTTCAAACCATCAGAATTTGAGATTTTAATATCATAATATTCCATATTAAAGGAGGCCTTTGAGAAGCTAACTCCATTTTGTAGGAAGAAGATAACTACTAAAATAAGATTTATTTTTTAGCTCTTTTGGTTGGGTCCGGGTAACCATACTCAAAGATCCCTTCTATTTTAAGAGAGGAGAAGGTTATATGTTTCCCCACTGCAAGTCACACATTGATATATGGGATACAACAGAATATGAGATGATCATGTATCATGATAAATGTTCCTTCTGTCACAAAGATCTAATCTTTCAAACTATTGAGAATGTATGGCTAAAAAATAGAATCATAGCAACAAATATAAAATAGAATCTTATCACTAAAGAATCCTTGCGACAGCAGACCATGCCGTAGAATCCTTGCGACAAATGAGATGTAGAACATAAAGTAGGGGTGAGAGACTGAGCTTACTTGTGGGAGTGGGAATGATGTCCAACCACGTATGAGACATGTTGGTGACTTGTTTATTTCCTACTGTAACTTGATCTGTGCCTTGATATGAATTTGGGTAGTGTAGGTTGTCTATGTTTGGTGTGAGGCATGTAGTGACGCCTATGTCAAGGATCCAGTGTTGGTTGTTTGTCGTGTTGGTGGTTGTAAGGGCTTTGTGGTTTGGTTTGTATTGGGTCTATACTGAAGGTTAGTTCTATGCCAACATTGCGAGGCTGAGTGGCATGGTTTGAGACATATTTAGTGGGTGATGGGTTGCTTGTTTTTATTTGAGTTGTTGTGGTGTCAGGATAGTTGGTATGATTAGCTTTTTGTAATTGGGTTTGGGTGGATGTGTTGTGTTGATTTTGGTTTTGTTGGTATAAGGTTGTAGTAGATTGTTGTTTGAGGGTGTTCAGTGACCAGGTTAGATTTCTCGCTTTGAAATAGAGAATAAAATTCTTCGATTTTGATGGGTTTGAGCTGCGTGCGTATGGCAGTTTTGAAACTTTGATATTGAGATGGTAACCAATTTAACGTGTAGAGAATGATGTCTTCTTTATCTATCTTAGCTCCTACTACTGCAAGGTTGTCAATTATAATTTTGATATTAGCCCAATATTGAGGCATGGTGTGGCTTCCCATTGTAATATTATGAAGATCGTTTTTGTGTTGGATTACTCTGGATCTATTCGCTAATTGAAATTCTCATTCAATGGTTGCCCAGATCTCTATTGTGCCGTTGAGACTGAGTACATATAGTAGAATTGGTGTGGATATAGTTGATAGCATTGCAGCTATGAGGTTTTAATCGACAAGATGCCAGAGTTTGAAATCTGGGTTTTCTGATGAACTTCTTAACTCATCTCTAATGAGTTGGTGTGGATTGGGAGAATTCTCTGTACAAAATTCTTTGAATCAATTTGCTTTAAGGAGTTTCAGTACCTGTGTATTCCATACCTGATAATTGCCATATTGCAAGGGTTAATTTGCTAGTGTCTTGATGTTTGACATCAAAAACTTGAGTGATGCAGGTATGCAGATTTCCTTCATTCGGTTGAGAGATGCAGGAGCTTGTTCTTATTGTGGAGGAGTCTGAAGAAAACATTGATCAATTGCTATGAAGCTCTATGCTCTGATACCATAAAGGAAAAGATAATTCCAATATTAGCCTTTGCACATTTCTCCAGATAAGTGGATCACTTTATTTACTCTCACTTGTCTCCCTTTCTCCCATACATCTCTCATTTTGCCATAGCTCCCCTTTTTATAGAAATTCTCACGCGAGAAACTCTCCCGTGCTACAGTGATCAGGGTGGGAAATTTGCACTTGTGTGAGAGGAAAATGGAGCGCTAGTGAGCATGTGCTGCACAGATTTTGTTGATGTGGTTATCGGTTCCTCTGTTTACTCTGTTTCACACCCAACTTGCCTCCCCTGCTTGCACAAAACCCAATCAAACCAAAGCCCCACACCGCTCAATCTCTCTCGATTTCACGCTGCTCCGCAAGATCCAACACCTCCCACCGACACCACCCTCTCTAAGTTCCCCACTATCAACCACCCTCCATATCCTGCCACCAAAGAATCACATAGCCAACTCATAATAGAGTGAAAGAAAACAGAATGGAATGCTATTTTTGCATGTTTAGTGAAATCGTACATGCTTGGCAAATATTATATTTTAAGTGTTAGAAATATAAACAGTGAGCCTTTAAGTGCTCTACATATGTAAAAAACAAGATATGGGAGCTTTTATTGTAGGTAGGAGCTAAGAGGGCCAAGCACAACTTGGTGACATGGTACACAATACAAGAAGCGAGGAGAAAAGGCATGCAAGAGAGAACCTAATCCGAACTAAGTGCACTCACTGTCCTACTATCACTTAATTGAACTATGCTTCTGTTAACCTCTTAAAAGCATCATTTTGATAAAGTAATCTAACCTATAATTTTAATGTTCTTCCCTCGAAGATTCTGCCTTGATTAGAATAACACCATACACAAATCACAGGGAGACCAAATCACGTGAATTAGGAAAAGTCATTGACGCAAGAAAACAAAATACTGGCGTGTGATCCTTAAAAACAGCTTTTTTTAACACATTAATGATGTTCCCACCACAAGTTGTTATCGTTTCCTTTCTAAAGCATCATCTACTGTTCTAATTTCTCCCACACTAATATGTGATTTTCTTGAGAAATGAGCGTAAATCCTCTCTAATTTTCTTTCAGACTGTTCGGTTACAGCACTAAAACCAACATCAAGGTCAAAAAACAAAAACAAAAGAAACATAAAGGAACGTTTGAGGCTAAAAGCTGCACTAAAGTAACCCATTTGGTTGTCTTGCTAATTTAAGTAACTAGGACAGTCATTTTAGTCTCTTATAAGTGACAAATTTATCCTCAGCCTCTTTTAATGAAAAAAATATTGAATAGGATAAATGCTAATTTCCAATCCACATGTACGTTATCCGCAGCAAATTTATCCTCAGACTCTTTTAATGAAAAAAATATTACGTGCGAATAGGATGAATGCTAATTTCCAATCCACATGTACGTTATCCGCAGGTAATATTTCCTCCCTTTAATGGGGACTAAAATAGTTCTTTTTAAAAGCTGTTTCAGCTATTAAAAAAATTTGGGAATTAAATTAGCACATTTACATAACTCCGGGACTAAATGACCCCCCTGTAATGAATCAATGAACTATTTTAACACTTTTCTCTATAAACAACAGATTACAGAAAATAAATAAAAAAAGATAATGTATTTACAGTAAAATTCGCTTTTCTACAAGCCTGAAAGCTGAACTTTGCGCGTCATCAGCAAACTCAGCAAGAATATAAGACAAAGTAGAAGTTATAAGAAAACTGTATATTTTGTACAACTCTACTATGCTTTTTTGATATAATGTAAAGAAAATAAAAAATCCTACAACTATAGATAACTATCCATTTGGACAACCTATAAGCTTGAAATCGGCCTATACTCCAACATGCAGCTGGAAAGAATAATTGCTACTATACACTCAGTTAAACGAAAAACAGAAGAAGAGGAAATTTTACTAAAAAGAATTCTATGGCATGGTCTGCTGTTGATGGTTTGACAAAGTTCTCGTTGTAATTTCAGAAACAGGGGGGTCCTCATTTAAATTACCAAACTTTTCAAGCTCCCTTGCAATCTGGATATCATTAGGCATGAAGAATTCTGTAACAGCCTTGGTCACAAATCGCGGAATCAAGCCTGCAATTAGAATGGCAAGTAAGCAGAACCAGAAAACCCATGTGCCCATCACGTGGAATATTGCCCTGAAAATAGACAACAAAATAATGAGTTTCTCTGCAAGCAAGGATGTATTTTTTCGTTTTTTTAGACATCTGTGAAGGCCATGCCATTTTACAATTAGCAAGCACCGAAATAAATTTGATGTACAATTCAATACACTCTAGAACAGAGTAGGAAACATTTGGTAGAGCATTATTAAACTTCTCAAGAAGATTTGCAATGAAAAACAGAATATGTTTGCATTTAGATTGGAAGTGAATGATAATGTAGCTAATCATGATAAAAAAAAATTCTAGAAAAAATGCAGATAATGTTATTTTGCTTTTTCAAATTTGAACCACGCTTCACACCTCAAATCCTAACACCTTTTAACAAAAGATGAATATTGTTAGGGTGCCACAAATTTGAACCACGCTTCACACTTCAGACTTCAAATCTTAACACCTTTTAATATTGCACTATGGTCCCTCAAACTTGATTTTCGCTTTTCAAAGAGGTCCATTTTTTATGATGACATTTTATAATTTATTAACTTAGCTGAAGCTACATTTTTTTTTTTTTTTCAAAATGAACGGAATTATTTTTTTATGACTAAAATATTATCATCCGAAAGATTTTTCTTTGATTCTCTAGCTTCCTTATCTTCCTTATCTTCCTTATCAAAAAGGTCAACCCAAAATCTGCCAACATCAGAGAGCGCAAGGACTTATCTTCCTTATCTTCCTTATTCTTTGATTTTTCTTTGATTTTTCTTTGAAAGGGTTAAGCCATAAATATAACCCAAAATCTGCCAACATCAGAGAGCGCAAGGACAAAAAATATGAGGAATGGAAGTACACGAAGAGATCCCTATATATTTATGATCGATCATCATGGACTTAAATATTTTTCTAATGAGATCGAGCAATTCATTCCACCAAGATTAGAGAGAATGAGAAGTGAAAGCTGGGGGAGAGGTCTTTTGTCTAGCATCATCAAATTCAGAAGAAGCCACTGTTGATCTCATATGTTTGTGACTTGTGTGGATAACCAGTGATTTGGTGATAGGAAGCCTTATTTGGAGTAATCTAATGAATTAACAAGTGTTCTATAAGTTATTAATGTATTAGTTCAATCATGATGATGATGATTGATTTCAATAGATATGCTTGAAGCCTTTGCAACTTGAAATGAACTCAGGATAGTGAATCAAAATGCTTCAAATGTGTAAATAAAGATTCTAACAAGTTAGTTTATTGTGGTTTTCTAGATTCATACTTGGCTGATTATTTAGTGTATCCTAAAAATCTCAAGATTAATATATAACAAAATTATTTATATTTAAATAATAATTTAGTTATGTAAACAAACTTATTATTAAATATTTTCAAATATTAGGGCTTAATCGAAACACTAATGTATAAATAAATTGTAAATAATTTGATTTCATATTATCTTATCATTACTGGACTTCTCAGCTAATTATTGGGCCACTATAGAAGTCATAACCGATTGTAATGCTTAGCATCGCACTATAAATAAATAGATGTTTTAGGTAAAATTATGTTTATTTGCAGGTCGCTATTAAGTGGTTTATAGTTTGTTGTAAACATCAAACATGTCGTCATTAACTTATTTTCAAATGTAACAATTGGTTTTTCCTATTTTTGAAATATCCAGGAATATTTTTTTGGGCTGCCTGTGCTGCTCTATTAATGTCTTTATATCTTCTAATTTTTTCAAGCATGATTTCACTCACAATAAAAGAAAGAATTTTGACCTAAAAGGATATATCATATCGACAAAAAATAAAGTGGCAACCCTTGCAATCAAGTACATATTACATTAACTCTTTCCTTGTAATCTCTTAGTTGATTCGTGTGTTTTGCTTTATATTATTAGCAATCATTTTGCATAGAAATTTTATATTCTTTATAACTATTAGTGATCGCTTTGGTCACCACTAAAGTGTTTGAGTACTTTGGAACCAGGATTCTTCACAATATTTCTAAGAATTGCTTCAGAAAAGGTTTCCTTTTTCATATTGTAAAATAAGTGATTTTTCCATATGAAGTGTCATTATGAGCAAAGATTGCTTAGGCGTAGAAAAAAAGTTATTTGGGGTTAAACCATGTATATATCCCTTTGCTGTTATTGCTCTCTAGCAAAGCATCACTTATTGCAACTTTCATTAATTTCTATGTTGTCATGCTTATCTGGTGATTTATAAGTTGGTACTTCAAATGCAAAAATACTAGAGCATACATCATCTTTGTGCTCAACACGTTAATTATCCTGTATAAAACATAAATCAATTTATATTACCATCACATCATTGTTACGTGGATACTTTATAAAGCCTTTGTGTTTAATTGAATCAATAGTTATTACTCTATTTATATAGAGCTTGAGTGTTCAAAGCCATTGAATAATCATTTAATACCATCTCATATTTCTGTTGCTACACTTGCAAGTTGTTTCACTTGATTGCAAGATTGTGTGCTTGTTTAGTTGAGTGTTTCAAATTTATATGTGCTTAACATCGATTACTCGCATATAGTTCTGTTGTGCAAAACAATGTAGAGAACTAATTCATATAACAAACAAACAACTAAACACAGTGTGATTACGTGATTCAGCACAATCCGCCTATGTCCATGATGAGAGGTCATTGCTCTATCAATAGGTAGGGAGGAGGAAAAATCGGTCGAATTAGAGTTACAACTCAATACTCACACCAAATTATCCATAATTCCTCTTATAAATAAGAAAAAAATCAAGGCATACAAATTAGAAATATTTTAAATATAAGAAAAATCATGTAATCAGATCTCCTCTAATTAGGTTTCATAACATAGAAAATATTATATAGTTAAATCTCCTCATATTAGGTTATCTAATATCAATCTTTCTAACATAAACACTTTCTCATTTATAAGAAGTAGATTTAATACTTTTCATAACAATCTCTACCTCATCTTTCACTTCTAGATAAGTGGGAGATGACCAAAATGAGCTTCAACGCCACAGCGATTGCACCAAAATGATTGTATGTCCCCCCTCTCTCGAAAGAAACAAACCTCGTGTAGTTCTTCAAAATATCCTAATGAGTAACCAATCATCAACTCAGATGTTAACCAAACTTCTATAATATGTGAACTTCTGGACTTGTAGTACATTTGTAAGCATGCTCATTTGATTCTCCTTCATATCTATCTTCTTCAACAAAACATTTTCATCATCAACTAAATTCCGAATAAAGTGGCACCTCACATCATTTAGTTTCATATGGGAATGATGAATTGGATTTGTGTCCAAGAATATCGCGCTCTGATTATGACAGAGCACAGTTAGAGACTCATGGTCAACTCCCAAGTTATCTAGTAGATCATGCATTCATGTCGCTTTCTTTATTATATTCGTGATTATTATGTACTCAGCCCCCATTGTAGAAAAATAATAGTAGATTAAAGAACTGATTTCCAACTAAGTTGACTTCAAGAAAATGTAAATAAATAACTTATCATAGACATACGTCTATCCATATCACCTACATAGTCTAAATCAGTTTAGCATACACATAAATCAATGATAGATGAGTATCTTTCAAATAATAAGCTGGAATCTATTGTGTCATTCAAATACCATAAAATACTCTTCACAGCCTATCAAGGCTCCTTCCTAGATCATGCATGCAATTGATCAAAGCACCAATTGCTTGTGCGGTGTATATTCTAGTAGAAGTCATGACATACTTCAGGCTTCAGGCTCCTCACTGCACTAATGTAAGAAAAATATCACATATCTTTCCTCTTCTGATCATTTTTAGGACACTAATCTGAACTTAACTAAAGGTGAAATGTAATGGGTAGACTCATCGCCTTGCTCTAGTCATCAACCCCAAACGTCTTCAGCATCTTTTGAATATATGCTTCTTGCGAGATCCAAATACTTGTCATTGAGAATTTTCATTCTAAGAATTATGTGAGCTTCACCTAACTCTTACATCATGAAATATTTGGATAGTTGTTTATTTATCTTATCAACCTTAGTCTGATTGGCAAATGCAATCAATATGTTGTCAACATATAGAAACAAGTATATGAACTCACCATTGGCCAACCTTTTAAACTATGAATAATTGTCATATTGGCTCATCGTGTACTCATGTCCCATCATGAATTGATCAAACTTATTATACAATTGTTGTAGTGACTGAGATTTAGCCCATATAGAGACTTTTCCACTCCGTAAACTAAAATTTTTGAGGATCCATATCTAAGCGGTTGGAACACATACATCTTCTCTTGCAATTCCCCATGAAGGAACACAGTCTTGCGTATCAAGCTGCTCCAAAATTATACTGCAATATGCTAAAAGTGATAAGAGAACATGAAGCGAAGAATGCTTGACCACTAGGAAGAACATTTTGTTATAGTCAATTTCTTCTTGTTGCGCAAAGCTTTTTGCCACTAACTTTATCTTATACCGAACATTTTATCGTATACTTTATCTATGAGATTCTTCTTTGCATACACTCATTTGGATCCAATGAATTTCTTTCTACAAGAAAGCTTCACTAGTTTCTAGGTAGCATTCTTCAGAAGAACTCCATCTCTTCATCTATTGTCCATCTCCAAAGATCACCGTCTAGGCTCTCGACTGCTTCTTTATAGTGACAAGAAATTTCAGTCTCCATGGCTGAAAGTGCAAATGCATTATGATTCCTTAACAAAAACTAGTTTTGGAATATTCTGACGTTTGTTCCTGATTCAACTCCTAGAAATAGATTCTTAAGCAGAGATCTCATCCTCAACATCTTCCACTTTCTTCTTAGCACTATCAATAGGTACCTCCTGAGCTGCAATTGAATCAGGCACCTAAGTAGGAGTGAAGGAATTATGTTGAACAAATGGAGTTGTATCAAACTCTTACTTATGTTGCATCTTCTCCTGCTTCTAGTTGTGAGACTTTAACGAGCTCATCTTGTCAAATAGAAAAATCCTGCTAAGGATAATCTTCTTCTCTGATTGATCATAAAGTTTAAAACTAATGATTCCACGCCTGAAACCAATAAAGATGGATTTCTTTGCTCGTGATTTCAGTTTATCATTATGTAAGTGGTAGTAAGCTAGACACTCAAACACTCTCAAGTGCTCATAATCCTAACAGGATGCCCTGATCATATCTCCTTTGGGATATTCTTTCTAATATATATATATATATATATATATATATATATATTAAATATATATATATATATATATATAAAGTAAACGGTTTACGAAGTGACAAGCATAGTCCATGGCCATGACCTAATAAACTATCAAAGCCAGTATTAGACAAGAGACTAAACTCTCTCTACCAGTCTAGTTCATCCTCTCTACCACTTTGTTATGCCGTGTCTTTCGAATGATGAAGTGGTGCTTTATCCCAGTTTTATAGCACTCTTGTAACAACACATCTTATATGTATTTGTCCCCATTGTCGAACCTGATATACCAGATATTTGTATCGGTCTAAGTTTCAACCTACTTTTAAGTTATGAAAAATCTTCGGTATCTCACTCCTGCACTTCATGGTGTGAACCCAAATATATATGGAGTGATCATTAATAAAAGAGACAATATCTTCAACCGAAAGATGTAGTCTTTATCGGGCTCCAAACATCTATGTAAACATATTTTAGAATATCTTTTGTACTGTGGATGACAATAACAGAGTATACCCGTGTCTTCTTACCGAATACATAATGATTACAAAAATTAAGTTGGCAGGTGCTCACTCTTTCTATCAATCCTTGCTTCACCAAAGCCTGAAGTGAAGTCTCTCCAACATGAGCTACTCTACAATATAATGACATCAGAAGAATCATAAACAACAGCTGTCGTTACAATCACTGTATTACCTTGAAAATAACAAATGTTGTGATGACAAACTACTTTCAGAAAAATCATTACTCCATTAGATATCTCCAGAACTTTTGTCGCGATAACTTTCTTATAGTCATTGGCCTCTAAAACTCCAACCGATAATAAACCCTTCCTAATATCTGAAACATGTCTAACACCAATCAGCGCCATCACAGTATCATCATACATCTTGATAAAAAATGTTACCTCCACCAATAGTATGACTAATTTGATCGTTTCCCATAATCATTGCACTGTTATCCAACTTCTTATATGAATAAAATCACTTCGAATGGGATAAATGTGATATGTAGCACTTGTGACCAGAATTTAGCATGAGTTATTTTCATACAAACTGTGAAAAACTGCAGATAACAATACATCTGAATTCACCTTATCACTTCTCCCCGCAATAAGACTGGCTTTTGTCTCAGAGGAAACTCAATTTCCATTTTTTCTTCAACTTCAGACAATCTTTCTTTTAATGATCAATCTCTAAGCAGAAAGCATACTCATTTTTTTTCCAACACTATGCCAGCAATACTTGTCCTACTTTTAAGAAGTATTGTCGTTATCACCTTGCTTTGCCCAATTATTCTTCTTAGATTTGCCACGATGAGGTGTAACTGCCCTTCTCTTCGACGAAACTCAAGGTTTAACAATAACGTAATCACCTCACCATAATTCAAGACCTTCCCATGAATGAGTGTTATCGTGAAGTATTCTTACTCATCTGGGAGTGAATTAATATAAGAAATGCATTGTCCTCATTTTCAACCTCATCATTCAAATTTAACAAATTTATCAAAAGATTTGTAAAATCATTCAAGTGCCCATTAACAAATTTATCAAATTTAGATTCAAAAAGCACAAATACATCACCTCGCAACACCACATACCAAAGTTTTCTTTGTCATCAAATTTTGTCACATCGATCTTGACGAGATGCTTAACCACCTAATAAATCAATAGCTTTTCCACTGTCGCGGTGGATGTTAAAGTACCTGACAACATGCTATTATACACGACTCCGATAGATTTCGTAGCTCAACTTGCTTCAATCTATGTCTTGCATTGACAACTTTGTCGGAATCGCAACGCTCGTCGTCGGAATCACCGATTTGGCTTGTTACCAATTGTTGTGCAAAACAATACAAAAAATAAATTTACACAACAAAAAAATAACCAAACACAATGCAATTTATGTGGTTCAACACAAATCCGCCTACGTCCATGAGGAAAGGTTACTCCACTATCAACAGGTGGGGAAAGAAAAAATCGGCCGAATTAGGGTTATAACTCAACACTCAAACCAAATCTTTCATAATCCCTCCTATAAATAAGAGAATAATGGGGCATACAAATTAGAATTATTTCAAATATAGGAAAAAATGTGTAATTAGATATCCTTTAATTATGTTTCATGATATATAAAATATAATATAATTAAATCTCTCCAAATTAGGTTACCTAACATCAATCTTCATAATATACACACTTCCTAAATTACAATCATTAGATTTCATGCTTTTCATAACAAGTTTACCTTCATAAAATTGTAATATCTTGTATTTAGCATAACTTGTTACATTCTATGGTGCATAGTATTTAACTACTTATTATATTGTGCATTACATCTCTACTGATCCTCGTATGAGATTATATTGGTTAAATCTTGGAAGGAAATTCCAAATGAGAAACAAAATAGTGTCGCTTATAGTATCAGAACTATTCAGTTGATGAAATCACTTAATATCGCTATATTAAGAGCAAAAGAAGAGAGATGATTTATGCATAAGAAGAATAAAACAGAGAAAAAGAAGAAAACTAGAGGGTATTGTGCTGTTTTGGACTTATTTGATGATTCTACTAACAAAAGGGACTGTGTGAAAGTGGTACCTCTTAAGACAAAGGAGAAACCGATTTGTCTTTTTTACAATTAATTACAATTCTATCAATAAAAAGCCAATGTGAAGTGTAATGTAAAGATTTGGGACCAAATTCTGATAGTTTCTAAAACCATAGAACTATGTGAAGCACAACCAAGAAGAATAAGTTCAAAGTTCAGCTTATGTATCTTTCATATTCCATGATTGAATTTCACTTTAAACATCTTCTATTGAAATTATGCGCTTGCTAGCTTTGGACCCTAAATTGTATAGTTTCTAAAAGCCAAAATCTAGTCATGGTTGCCAAGCGGACTGAACCGCGGACTAGGTTCAGGTAGTAAACTCTTGATTTTTAAACTATAGGTTTTAGGCACCAATCTCAATATTATATAATTGATCGTAACCACCAAGATTCAATATCTCTAATCAGTCTTATGGCCTCAAATAAACGTAACCAGTCTAATGTCTACCTAATAGTTATACTATTTTGGGCCAACTTAATGAAATATGAGAAAGCTTTTTATCCTTTTAAAAGAAACATATATTGTGTTTTTTTCCCCTTTCTTTTTTATTGTCTTATGGTAACCCTAGAGTACCCAGAATAATAATGCATTTTAATATCGCCACCATGTGAAAACTCCTAGTATTAGTATGCAGATTTACTTCATTTTGTCAATACTTCAATCAAGATACAAGAAGCTTTGGTTCTAATCTCATATTGGGTAGTTGAAAAATATATTAGCGCATAAACACCAAGTAGTTCTCCTTTATCCAACGACCTGAGCTTTTAGGATAAAATAAATTTCATCGCAGGTGCATTTAGCCCAACTATAATCCCTTTATGTTCATCCTTCCTAACAACTTTAATTTGGGCGTGGATACATTCGAACAAATAAAAATAATCTCTAAAAGTAACTTCAGATAACTAATGAAAAGAACTTACATGAAACCAGGTAAGATGGGCAACGCATCTATAATGATGACGCAAATGACTGTTGCAACAATGCAGCCCCAAATGGACGTATGTGCTATCCAATTCCACCTGAAAATATCCATTCCTAAGTGAAGATTCACCATAAGAACAACTGCAAGGATCCAGAGGTCACCAATGCCGGATCCATCAATGGTACTGTGTCTGTAAGCAAGAAATGGTATGAAAAAGATGGCTAAGCTTTGCCAAACCGAGTCCATCATGGTTAAAATGAACAGTTTTAGGTTGTAACGCTCTTCTCTTTGGCCGGACCCATATAGCTGGGGGTACTTCAACAGTGTTTTCTTGCTCAAATCCTTGTCAAGAATTCCTACAACTATGGTTGGCAGAGCTGTGTAAATAACCGAGTACAAGACACTGCTCCACTCACTGATCGCAGTAGTCAAACTGAAAGCTGTATATAGCACATACCTGTAGAAAGAAATGTGAAATTTTATTAATTATAGACCAGGCACATAAAAAATTGCAAGATGAGGGCGAAAATTGAATTGTAATCTCTTATACTTTTTGACAAAAATTCTTGTGTATTTACATATCTAACGCCTATATTTTATCTTTCTACATTAATTCCACCAAAAATTTTCATATCACATCACAAATACAACAATTTTAACTTTTAAAAATTGAAATACATCTTTTCATGAATATGTAAGGTGATATGTATGTAAAAATTGAAATTTAGGTGCTAGATATGTAAATACATAGGAATTGACTAGATATGTAAATTAAATACATAGGAATTGACTACTGTGTATTTAAATCTTCTAAAAAAATGGTAGCAGAAGAAAGGTCATCAACTAATTACACAAATAAATAAGCTTCCCTTCTCTAAACTTAGAGTTGCTAGGATAGTTATCTATGGAAAAGTGGATATTTTGTATTAAATACATAGACATCATCAAAAAATTCCTCTTTACTACACTGAAGTCAAAAAAATTAAATCGCCTCTTACTATTCCCAACATCTTATAATATAATCAATTGCAACTAACAATGTTATACAATACTGACCTTAACCTTAATTTTATAGGCAAATATTAAACAGATGGGTTAAGAGTTCCCTGTTACATTTGATAGACTAGTTTGATACCATGACACCAATATTCTTTATGAAACTATTACTGTATTTGATGCTTCAATGGTCAAACTTCCTTTGAATCCTTTTTTTAATATTCAAATTAAATATTACTTGATATGTTGTTACCGTGTGTGAAGCCAAAGCATTCCAAGCAGAATTTAAGGCTGGCCTCTAAGCACCAACCATGGGCGCTCAAGCGCCCTATAAGAGTTTAAAACATAAATGTCAGCGCCTATGCGCCAGCCATTTGGCGCCCAACTGTCTCACATGGTGCGGGCACTGCTTGTTTTCCCGAGAGACCAACGCATAGTCCCAGTCTATTGTCGCCTAGGGGCCCATTTCGGAGTGCTAATACCGAGAGCTTGGCACTTAGGAACTAAGTTTGGGCGCCTAAGTGCTAGGTGTGGTTAGTACATAGGATTTTGGTTTTTAAGCCGATTTCGAGCGTGGAAAGGATGAACATCCGGTTTCTATCTTCTGAACTCTTCGAGGAGCATTCCAGTCAAGGTGAGGAGTGTCGAAGAGGTGAATTTTGGTGATTCGGCGTGATTTTTGTGTTAGATTGGAGAGGGAATATTGTTAGTACAAGTTTTGTAAGTTTCTTCGTGTGAGTGTGGAGAAAAAACAAGCGTCAATCTTTGTAAAACTTTCTGAATTACATAATGAAATTTTTAGTAGTGCGGCTCTGTAAATTTTTTTCCCATTTTTGGGTTTTTCTATGTGCTTTGATTGTGTTTTCTTGAATTTTTTGTTCCGATTTTTTCTCGAATACTGTGATCCTATTCTGCAGAGAAATTAGAAAGTGACTCTTTCAAAGTAGTTTCCTTAATATATGTTGCCTCATAATTAGTTCAATAAAGAAAATTTACAAGCTAACTAAGGTTGATATGCATGTATGAGGTCGATGACAAAAGAAAATTTGATTATAAGTTTTTTTTTTTTTCTCACATGCGCAGAATCTGATTTTAAGGTTACATTCCTTATTCTTTGTGCATTAGGGCAGAAAGCTTCATGAGTGGCCTAAGCTAGAGTCCTAGACATTAAATTAAGAAAGGCACTCTTGTTCAACTCAAAATTGCACAAATAATAGGAGAACGATACTTTAAGGGTACTATCATTGGAGTGTTAGGAAAAGGAGCGCCCCTGTTAGCAATGATTTGCATTCTAAGGAGAATACCAAAAAAAAAAAAAAACACGAGTTATCATGATTTTGTGAGATCCACTAACACCCATTGGCACTCAAAGAGCTAAATATCCACTAATCTAGAAATATATACAGAATAAAAATATTTTCTCAACCAAATATTTCACGTTTATATAACAAGCAATATTTCTTCTCTGATAACCTCTCCAAACCGAACCATGACTCCTCTGTCGGTTATTCTGATCAGGGATAGAGGACATTCATCTCCTCTTATGTCAGACCACCTTATCAATCATTAACTTTTATGACAATCACCAATTTTCTTTTTTGAAGACTATTAGTTTAAAATTGTCAACTTAGACCTTCAATGTTTGTTGAATGCCCAACATAGAAATCCCACAGTGTGACCTTGGCCAAGAAAACTATCAACCTCTAATCACTCCATCCATCAACTGCCTATTCAATCTCCATTTGCCTTTACATCTGATCGAATGAAAGAGAATAATGAGTGATGCCTTACAACCATTGATTTATTATCTTTTTATGGTGAGTGAAAATAGAAACTTGACAATCACCAATTTTTCAAAATTAAAACAAAACGCGTCAAGACCTTTAGATCAAGCTGATTAAAGGACATTAAACTTCACAAGTAGCAACCTCCCACTTTGATAGTCAATTTCTGATGGATTGTATTAAGAGAAAACCTAGCATCTTTGATCAACATCCTTGCTTTATTATCCTATTGCTCCAAGATCCTAACATTTATTATCTTTTTATGGAATGGAGTTCTCTCTTTTCCTTTGATGTTTCAGTGAGAATTTGAAAAAAGAATGAAAGAGGGTTCTTGATTTGTAGATAGCAATGTTTCAGGTGTCCTATATGTAATTGCCTCAGATAAAATTAATGAGATGGGGTTTTATCATTACCTTTAATGTTTGAGTGAGAATTTGAATAAGAGATGAACGAGGGTGATTGATTTGTATATAGCAATGTTTTGGGTAAATTACATACAAGGCACTCAAAACCGGTGCTTGATTTGTGGTGCGGTATTGATGTTTTGTGGTAGCAGTGTGGTGTTGTTGATGTCGGTGGTGGTGTTGTTGATGATGGTGGTGATGATATGTTGATAGTGGTGGTGATGTTGTGGTGGTTGTGGTGTAGTAGAGGTGTTGGTAGTGGTGTTAGTGTCGGTAGAGATGTAGGTAGTGGTGTTAGGGTCAGTAGTGGTCTTGTTGTGGTGTGGTGTTGGTCTTGTGGTAGTCATATGGTGTTGATATTGGTGATGGTGTTGGTGATGGTGTTGGTGATGGTGTTGGTGATGGTGTTGGTGATGGTGGTGGTTGTGTGGTGTGGTAGTGATTTTGTGGTGATGTTTCTTTTCATTTACCCTTTTGAATTGTGGTATCTTAAGTGACACTTTATGTTTTTTTATGGCAAATATTTATGTTGATTAGTTGATTTCATGTTAGTATCACAATGGTTAAGATAAAAAAAATCGGTTCATCTGCTACGTGGGATAAAAAAGCAAAACTAATATTTTGCAACATCTGCATTATGGAGGTGAAATTGGGAAATAGACCACCAGCCCATTTTAACAATGAGGGCTGACAAAATATTATACAAAAATTCAAGGAAAACACAGAAAGAAAATACGATATGATGCAATTGAAAAACAAGTGAGATCAATTAAAAAAGATTGAAAATTTTGGAAAGAATTGAAGCGGAGATCTACGGGCTTAAGTTGGGATCCGATAAAGTGAATAATTGATGCTTCGAAAGAATGGTGGCCCAAGAGATTAGATGTGAAAATTTATGAAACGTCCAAAAAGAAGAGCAGAAAGTTGACTTCTTTAGGTGGGCAGATCGGTTCAAGGATTGCACTGCCGATAGTGATCAGACGTGAAGAGTTTCATTGGAGGATGTATTATCTCGTGACATTAACCAACTGAATTTTAAAAATAATATTATCATATTATTAATTATTATTTTAATAATTATTTTAATTTTAATTGTCGTGTTACTCATTGTTTAGTGAGGTGTCTGTTTTTATTTTGTAAGGTTCACACTGAATATTTGATTGCAAGTATGAAATGTGCTAGCATGATTGGTTATGTTATAAACAACGCTATACTACAAGAGCAAAAATGTCATTTGTTCAAAAATAGTTGTAGCACAGCTATTAGAAAACTGAAAAAAACAAACAAACAACGAGTTTCTTTGCAGCAGCTTCTGCACAACGCAACAACTTTTTAAAAAGCTTTAGCTGCCCCAAACAAACTTTTTATCATATATTATACCCGTAATATCATTCGTAATAAATTTAATTGTTGATCTTACTAGATGTCACGTACATATTATCATGCTTGCTTCAATGTGCCATCACCATAACAATCTTAGCCATCTTCTAAGTATCAGTATAAAATTTGAGATGTAAACTTCTTCACCAAACTGTTCGATTGAGAACAAGTTCCTTTTCAAGTCAAAATTGTGCCTCACATTGGGTTGTTTCCACTATTACCACTCTTGACTTGCATATCAGCAACTAATAAACTTAAATTAATAAGCTATAAACTCGTCAAGTTCAATAAAAATACCACGTAAATCCATAACTCATAATTCTATAAGACTATCCATAAAAAGAATATTGGATAATAAATCATTACTTCCAACAATCATAGATTCTTCCATCTGATTCAAACATTATCCACCATTCTACTATGGACAGACTCTTTTTTATGTGACTAGACATGCCACATCACCATCATACATTGTTATGACCTTTTAATTGGTTCCTCTACTATGACTTGAATCGACTTCAATTGCTATCTATTATTGGACTTCTTTTACTCTCAAAATTCAGATCAATAGAAAAAAGAACTTAACTTGGTTTTCTTGTATAATTGACCACACTTAAAATAAAGTAAGAAAATCATTAAACATCAACTTCATAGACCAGCATAAGATACTGACAGCTACTATAGTTCCAGTCAAACTTTCTTATGAAAATAATGATAATCTCAATATGAAAATTTCACTAACAAACCTGGTATCAACAAAGCATAATTGAATTTGATCACATTGAATGCATTTATATGTGCCTCTGCAAAAGGACCTTCTTCCATCTTTAAGATTAAAAACCTTTCTGATTAGATAACCTTTTTTTCCTAGAAGGCTTCTTCTACATTTCTAGCATAACATTTATCATGCCAGTTGTGATCCTCTAGTGCAATAAGATAAAGGCAGTGACTAAAATATAACTCTCACCTGTCTATCCAAGAGATTATAATTTTCTTGGCTCATAGTTGTTGGGTTTGATCCAAAAAGAGGTGGATGTTTCTCAAGAAAAGACGATCGTTGATCTATAAATTACTGTATACAAAATCCTTTCCATCAAATCGGTCAATCCTGGCCTTTCTATATTTCTTCCATTGCTGCCACATTTTAGTTTTTCCATAGACACCAAATCTATCCTAACTCTAATAACAGTTACTGGGGAAAAACGAGCACCCAAAAGCAAAAACATGTAAAAAATTGGGAAAAGGTAATCTACAATAACATAAGATAGTTTACTAATTTATTTAAATTTACTCATATCTGAGGATGCACAAAGATAAATATCCACTAGTTCAAAGATAAGCACAATAAAAATAATTGCTCACCTCTCTCTGTCACTTAGATCTCCTTTAGCATTCCACCCTCACATTTACTACCACTCAAAAGTTGAGCATAATTCCGCCACTAGCAACACTTACCAAAAACAGAGAAAAACATATCGCCTGTCATGTTAGACCCAGAGAAAAACATATCGCCTGTCATTTTAGACCACCTCATTGACCTCCTGCGATAGTCATCAATTTTCTCTTTTAAAGGCCTTGGATTTCAAGTTTTCATCCGTAACCCTTTAATGTGCACTACCAACCACCCAATATAGAAATCCCAATGTATAACACCTACTAAGATAAACATCAACCTCCAATCACTCTACCGAACATCTCGTTGGCCTTTACATGCTCTGCACCAAGATGAATGAATAACAATGATGTGATGCTTTGAAACTATTGATTTCATCTTCTTTTATAGAGCAACCAGTAGAAGTGAAGGAATAAGTGGGAATAGGATCTTGAGTTTGATAACTACCAATTTTTAAAAAATCAAAATCAAATCTTATCCAAGAATTTGAGATCAAAATGGCAAAGGGAAATTAGACTCCACACCTAATTAAGACACCTCCAATAACTTTCAAAATGTTTTAGTTGATCCCTTGTTAATATTTGAAAGCAACTTATTAAGCAACAGAACCTAACTGATTGCCAAAGTAAATACTTATTACAGACAACAAATAGGACTTGAAATATATCTCAAGCAAACTAATCCCACGCTATAATAATAACAACTAGCGGAATTTTAAAAAACATAAAATCATAAGAAACATCAATAAGTAACAATGGTAACCAATATAACAATGGTAACCAATATAACAATGATTCAGGGAAAAATATCTACGTGTTGCTTCACATTCCAACCAAAATTGCAACAATAATGCAAGAAGAACCTAAAGCAAATCTAAATAAAAAAAAGACATTTAAAATGAGCAGATTAAATATTATCATCACATCCACTTACCAGAAAAGAACAAACACAAGAATAGAATTTCTGTAGAAGTTGTACAAGATCATATAAGCCATTCTTTGGTAGTTCCAGTGACCATGGACCAGTAAAAGTGGTACCAAGAATCTGAACTGTCCTATAGCAAAATCTGAGGCCATAACAGCTTGCCTCCCTTCTCTTCCACTAATGCCTATCCCAACATTAGCCTTCTGGATCATCGAAACATCATTTGCACCTAAATGCCACATAGAGAAGATTTAACCCAGAATGAAAAATTTGCTAGAACCAGTAATTCTAAAAAAGTATTAATTTCAAAATTACCATCTCCAATAGCAAGAGTCATATCATCTGTTCTGCTCTTGATTAGGATTAGCATAACTATCCCACATAACTATCCCAGCCTTCTGCAACGGAGCCACTCGACAACACAAAACAACACTACATGATGTTGCTACTTCGAATAGCTGGAGCATCCAATTATAAAGAAGTTGAGTGCATTATAATCCTGAAAAAAACAATATTTTTTAATGTTTTTTGCATAATACCTCTTCTTCTAGCTCGGTCTCAAGGATGTAGACGAGGCTGGTACCATCAATTATCAAAGCAAGAGGAGTCTTTTTAGAATCTACTCCAATACTGTTATGTCCTACTGGAGACTTTCCTGTCATTTTCTTAGTGATGGCAAGGGCATCTGCTAAACTCTTTTTACATGACTCCTTGGAATTGTTGTTTATTATAATCTGAGTCATGTCTCCCGTTAAAAGATTGGAAGAAAATCCAATAGAAATTGCAGTTTCTTGCTTGTCTCCAGTCAAAACCCAGACCTTGATCCCAGCTCTCCTCAGAGATTCAATGGCTTCAGGCACACCTTGTTGTAACTTATCTTCAATTCCCGAGGCTCCTAAAATGCTAACATTGTTCTCAATATTCATTGCAACTGCTTTTAATAAACTTCCCCTCCCAAACAATGCAGTGTTGGCTTTCTCATAGGAAGAATGCCACTCTTCAAACTCAATATTACTCATTTCTCGCATACCGATGACTAAGGTTCTCAGACCCAATGTTGAGTATGTGTGAAGGTGTGATTTGGTTGCTTGAACTATGTCCACATTCAATGTCTTATCCACAACTCCAAACATTGAACTGTCTGCACCTTTAACAAAAACTTTCACTGTCTTATCAGGAAAGCCCACTATAACTGACATCCTCTTACGATCACTGTCAAACTCATGAAGTCCCAATATATCAAACCTGCAACACCATAGTATTAGATTCAAAAGAACAAAAATTTATTCAAAAGTAGAGTGATTTAAATATATCATTAAAAGTTTTTAAATATAAAAGGCTATCATAGCAATCACAATCACAAATGAACCATAAGTTCCAGCTACTACTGCTGCTAACTATCAGCCAAAGAATCGCAGGAAAAAGAAAAGTAGTATTGCTAGTGTTCACAAAAATGTCAATTAGTCTCCTCGATACAAAAGATTGTTAATGATGCATGCAAGAAATGAAAAAAATCCAAAATTGTTCATGGGAAAAGGAGATAGGGCGGAAGATAAGAAAAATATTATCCAATAAAGAATATTAAAGAGTGCAAAGTTTAAGTTAGCTTTTTATATTATAGAATATTATATTCTGCATATACGATTCACGAGCTCAAGAGTTTTTTGGTTCTTTCTTCAAACTTGATCTGTCCAAGACTTGACACATTTGCATAGAAGCAAACATGATTTAATTTGTATGCAGCACACTTAGCCTTAGTAGTTGAGAGCTTTATCTCTAATCACAAGCTCTTGAGTTTAAGACTCAGCGCATATTGGGGTGCGTGTAAGTTAAAAAAAATGATTTAATTTGTAAAAACAATCAATTACATCACCAAGCTTTGTAAATTTACCATCTTTTGTAAGAACTAAACTAAATATTTTTTTGATTCTTCTTGAGATTTTTGTGCTAGACATCATTTTGATGCGTCATCTATTGTTTTAATCAATAACAACTCCTATTAATTTCAATGTTTGCATGAAAGATTATCTCCGCTTTTCCTTTGATACAAAAATTAAAATCCTAGCATTTGTGGACAGCATAAATAGCGGTCTGCCTAATATTCAGATAAACCTTTATTGAAGGCCCAATTTTAGATTAGTGGATCCAACGCTCATATGGATTTGAGGGAGGTTTGACAAGGATGGAGAACACAAGCAATAATCAACATAATGGTTTATTTAATATAGAATTCAAAAAAAAAAAAAAAGGACCTGCATAAAACAATACTTTGATGAAGTGACTAGATTTCATGTTGTTAGACCTATATCATTAAGCATTACAAATGATAAACATGAGCCTTAAATATGATTTTGATGTATTGGAACCAAAAAAATATTAGATAGACTTGAGAAAATATCAGTCCTTTATTCCATGAATAAGCAAAATATGAATTTAACCCTATAAATTCTATCAAAATAGCAGCACAAGATTACCACCGAACAGAATCCACTACAGATTATTATTCTATGATTCATAGCTCAAATGTGAACAATCAAGACCATGCCATCAAAAAACAGGACTCATACATTGTAGCAACATCTTAAAACATGTCTTTTCTATAAAGCAATAGTATTCATCTTTAAGATTGATTATCTTGAATTTTACAAGAGAAAATATATTTTATTGTATTAAATGAAATAATTTATTTAAATATATATATATATATATATATATATATGCATTCAAATTAAAAATTAAAATAAAAAATAATGCCTCTCCCTCCAATCAAATCTATCAAAACTTTAAATGTGAGTGGTAGGCTCATTCATTCAAATTTGATACAAGTATAAGATTCACTTTAATTAATTAGGCCACATGACATAAAGATTTGAGAAATTAAAAATATGATTTTTGATATGAACTTATTTAAATATTGCAACATCACTAAAAGAGAGTAGAAACATTTCTTTCCTGAGCAATTAAATTAAAGATATTAAGAGGACGGGCGAGCATGATTGTCTGTACAAATCATGAACATTAATAACCCCCATTTATTAGCCTTATCCTCCAAAATCAAGCAGGAATACATCTCTCACTGTACGCATTTAAAAAACCTTATCATTACAGACTTTCAGTCACATCAACCATATTAATCACGAGTCCCTGTGCTCATGAAGAAGCAAGAACCAGAAAAATTTGATCGATTTATTTTATTTAATTTATATATGAGCGAAAACAATTGATTTTAATTAAAAAAAAAAATTAAAACTAAATTGATCAAGTTATTTTAAACTGAATTGAATTGAGTTAAATTTTAGTTGGATCAATTTGATTCGATTTAGAATAAACTAAAAAAAATTAATAAATAAATTTAATGCTTTAGGAAAAATACTTAGTATTTTAGTTTTTTTTTAGATTTTATGGCATGAAATAAATAATATCCACACTAATGTTTTTATCATTTTTTATTCATTATTTATTTATGTCACAAATTTTGTTGATTTAATACTTGAATACATTAAAATAAACGTTTTTCTTCGATTAATTTTAAAAAGAATAAAACAAACCAAAATTAAAAATAAAGATAAAGCAAAATTACAATAAATCGCTTGTTTTCTCACCATATCCTCTCTAACTATGATGTCAATGCATCACCCATCCCATTACACGAAGAATATTTAAAAGATAAAGCTCCTATGCAGTTGGCGCTCATGAAGGCCTTTACTTACACATATTTTTTCAGGAAGATTTACATACAAACCACTTAATTCCTATGTATTTACATATCTAACCCCTAATATTCAATTTTTACATATATAACAAATTACCTAAAAAAGTGTATTTTAGTTTTTAAAAACTAGAAGTGATATGTTTATGTGATGTGAAAGATTTGGATGGCATTGTAAAAAATAAAAAAGAATTGGATGGTATGTGTAAATATGCCCTTTTTTTATGAGGCGTTTACATAAAACCACGCAATTATTTATTATGAAACAAGATCTCAATGGGTGATTTTTTTTTATTTTGAGAAATGCTTGCAAGGAGCCCACCAATTGTGACTTCAAGAACGTCTTATGGAGATTGGTCAAAGTGGGTGTATTAGACGTATCATGCTGCCTTTACTTTAAAATCTATACGTGGAGCTAGCCATTCTTGGTTGATTAATACCGGGTCCCCCACTAATTATTTCTTTGTTGCCTTCACGATAGATTTTTTGTTTTTTATTTAAGAGTATAAAATGAATGAAATTTTAAGACAATTGTCCAATAAAATACATTTTATTATATAACATCATATTAAGTATATATTTTGATGTGATTGTCCAATAAAATACTAAATAAATTAATATCAAAATTTAGGCATGTAAATAGTTAAGAATTACTGGATTTACGTAAATACCACATTATTTAATCAAATATTAGGCCAAAGTAAAACACACAACTCTATAAACCCTAAACCCACTTTAATTCTTCCGAACTTCCTGTTCTAAATAAAAATTGCGTGCATTATTTTCCATTCATAGATGTTATGCCATTTAAAATTGGTTTTTCCTTCATAAATCAATCAAGTACGCACAGAATTAGGAATTATAGCCCTCATTTGACTATAATAACGGCTTCATAACCAAAATAATATTGAAACTGGAATTTCTAAACAAAACTACAAAAATTAATCAGCTAACCTAATCAGGTCTGGTCAAATCAAATGAAAAACAATTCAAATAAAAAAACAAAGTGAAATCACATCATTTAGACTAATGCAAACAAAATAATAAAACAAAATTGCACAGATGAGAGCAGGTATACAACAGTTAGAAGAGAAAGAAATAAAATAATTGGTACCTCTGTTTTTGACCGAAGATGTCAATAACAATGTGGCCGGAGGTGCGTTCGATGAGCGTGAAACCATAAGCGGCTGCGGCATAGAGTAAGGCTTGCTCGTCAGGTGATTCGCCCTGATAGTCTATTAGCTTAATTGAGGGATCATCTGTTTCGGTCAAGATGGGAACGATGGTGTTGCAGGTGGCTAGTGCGAGCAAAAATTCTCGGGCTTTGTCTCCTTTCTCTGTTCGCTCTCCAGTCCTCAGCAAGGAAAGGAGCTCCGGATTAGTTTTAACGCTCATTTTTGGTCTCCAGATTTGCTCGCCCACTGTTCAATAATAATAAAAGAAGACTTTTAAATGATTAATTTTACACTAATAACATATTGGTGTCATAAAAATGTGTAATTTACTTTAAAAAAGATAATGAAGATGTCAAAAGTTCGATTGATAAGCATGAAAATATGAACGTTCAAGTGCTAGATATGAAATACAGAAGGATTTTGAGGTATGCATGTAAATGCCGTTAAACCAAATGCTTATTTTAGGAGATTTTATTACTTGAAATTTAAGGATAGGTTGGATGCAATATTCTTTATCATTAAAATTTGTATTTTTTTTTCAGAATAGTTATATAGGTATTGCGAGATTGATGCAGACTGATGCCGTTAACGAATTCCAAACTTAAATTTCAGGGAAAATTTTAAAATGGCCTATAAAATCACGGAATTTCCCGAAATATCAGGCCACATTTTTCCACCATTAGACCTGAACCTTAGCAACTAAGCAAAGAGAAAAAATAGGGGAAAAGAGCGGATGAAATAGTGTCACTGTGGCGGGCATTTTATCTCACACTAAAGGCTCACCACCCCCAAAAAAAAAGGTGGGAAATCACAAACAGATCACCGGAAACTTGCTATCTACAAATGGACCCCTCTTTCATCTACTTTTTAAATTCTCACTCAAACATTGAAATTCATGGTAAAACCCATGATTTTCATATTTATCAAATTCTCAATAATTTTGGTGGCAATAGCAAACACATGGGCTTGGTAGTTGAAAAAAAATAGCCTTTAATTTGTAAATATTAATGTTACAGGGAGTCTGTATGTAATTATCCCAAAAAAATTCGGGGAAAAAACAAAGGAATAGCATCCCCGACTTACCTGCAACGGAGACGCCTTCTTCTCCGGTATCAGCTGCGGTTGCGGGGTCGCCGCTGTAGTCTACTCCAACCACGCTGGCGCAGCGAAACTCCATCTTATTCTCAGTCAAAGTCCCAGTCTTATCGGAAAATACATACTTGATCTGCCCCAAATCCTCATTAATATTGAGAGCACGGCACTGCAGTCTATTACCCCTCTCCTTATCAAACAAGCTCTCATCCTGAATCATAAAGAAGGCCTGCCCCAATCTCACGAGCTCCATCGAAATGTATAGCGCAATCGGAATCATAACCTGGAACAAAATCACCGACATGAAGAAAGTGAACACAATCTCCCACCCGATTCCGTAGTAATCATACTTCCCAACATCTCTGTCCGAAAAATCACGCTTCCTGTAATAGATTAGGTCGTCAAGTTTGTCCCGGTGACGGCCGAGCCAAGCGCCGGCGAGTATCGTCACGAGAGCGCACTCCACGAATAGAGCCACGGCCAAGATAATAGTCTCTCTATTCATGTGCGTCTCAAGTCGGCTGCGCTTCCATTGCGCGCCGGAGCTGTTGAGCATGACTTTGGTGTCCTTTCCAGTGTAGACGGCGACGCCGACTACCCAAGCTGTGTTCTTAAGGTCGCAGCCGCGAAGGATAACGTTGGAAGGGCCGAGGGAGACACGCTGTTTGCTGCCTTCGATTTCGACGTTGCCGTGGAAACCGTATATGTTGCGGTTGGGCTTCTCGCAGCGGATGATAGCGGAGAGGGTTTCTGGGGGTTTGGAGAGAGTCTCCTGCTTGGCGTAGCGCGTTTTAAGGTTGGATTCACCATCGAGATTGATAGTCTGCACGTAGGCGACGCCGGTGGGATCGCTGGTAGCGAGGAGGACGAGGTCACAGGGGATGGTCTCGTTGGACTGGACGCGTATGACCTCGCCGACACGAATATCTTTCCATGGCTTGGGCTGGAATTCTGAGGAGGAGGATAGCACGGAGGCGGAGCGGGAGTTTTCAGTGCGGTCGGAGCGGTGGCGTCGGTAGTCTTCATAGGCATCCTTGACGGCGGTGACGCCGAGGACAAAGGCGAGGGGAAGGATGGAGGCGGCTGGGGTGAAAACGCCGAGTTGGGGGATTTGGTTAATTCCTGCAAGGATGAGGAAATAGATATAGGCGACGCGGTGGAACTGCTCGAAGAGGTTTTTGGGGAGAAAGGTTAGGATGGAGTATTTGGAAGTGTTGATGGAGTTGTTGGGATGCCGAACAGGGGAGTTGCTGCGCTCGGGGTCGTTTATGTACACCAGGCGGGCGTCGGCATCGCTGATCTCTTTATGCGAGGAGCCCATGTTAACCGATTCCGATCGACGGGAGCCGTACCGCGGCACCGATGGCTGAGGCTGCTGCTTGGACGCCGAGCGCGAAATTGTTTCGATGGAAAAGGTGGTTTTGGTGCTCGAATGCATCTCGGCCGAGAAGTCGACATTCTCCACCGACAAGTTGCGGAAGTGAGGAGGTGCGGTTTTCCTGCGGGAGGAGGAGGACGAGGAACGTCTGGCTGCAGCGACCGTTGGAAAAGGAATAGGTGTCGAGTCCGGCGCTGGTGTGCGCGGGGACGGGATCAGAAGAGGCCGTTCGGAGGCCATGGTTGGAGGAAGAGGAAAAAGAACTTATCTGAGGGTGAGATAGCTGAGGGCATCAAGTTCTGTTCAAAGATGGAAGCATTAGAAATCGAGGATGGGTGGATTTGATTGTGGATAGAATTCTTAGGGAGGAGAGAATGGGAGAAAAAAGTCTCAAGTCTAATAGTTGACGTTCTTGGATGTTCGAAATGAGGAACGAGGGAAAGAAGATGAAACGAAGGGAATAGAGGTCATACTCGAATGGAAGAGGACGACTGGAAGCTGCTTCTAGAGTGGTCGGTTTTACATGTTTTTAGGTCCAACTTCTCAATTTGTGGCTTTGTAGAATGACTTTTCTTCTCCCATGTTTTCTGGTCTAACCAATGGCATATTTCGATTATTTAATTGAATAATATTAAGGGTTTTTACATAGACAGCACATGAAATTTGGAATTTACACATTCATCGTCTCAAAGTTCATATTTATGCCCACCCTCTCCCTTAAGCCACTCTCCATCATGTCGTTTTGCGTGCCCATCATTGTCGACTCCAACATCGTCTCCTCGTAGGACGGTTTCCCCTCTCCGTTGCTCCATCTATAAAATCCCCAACATTGTTTTGTGTGCCCATCTTCGCCCCGGTCTACCTCCGCCAAACTGAGTTCCTTCTTCCCTTTGGCTACTAGAACTTATTATGCGAAAATAATACTGAAATGAAGAAGCATGCAACAACAATCATAAATGATTTATGTGATTCGATGCTAAGTTGATTTGCCTACATCCACGTGGAGGGAGATTTCACTAGCACCCAGGGGTGGACCCATGTAGGGTCCAAGGGGGCATTTGCCCCCTCTAAAATTCAAAATTTTTAGTTATATGGGAGTGTAATGTGGTCATTTGACCCTCCTAAAATGTCACTTTTCCCTTCATTACCCCAGCGCACACGGACCCCACACCCCACCC